GCTCCCAGGAGCCACATAAAGGTTCACAACCATCCCCTAACTTTAGTTCCAGGGGACGCAGTACACTCTTCTGACCTCTAAGGGCATGGGCTCAGGCATGCATGGAGTGCACATAAAATAAGTAAATCTAAAAAACCAAAAAAAAAAATGTTTTAAAGGTCAGCTAGAGGAAAAGCTCTAAGAAAATTACACTCATAGACTACAGTCCTGAAAAGTTCACCCATAACTGTGACGCAGGAAGGGAACCATTGGAAGGAAACAGCTGAGAAAATAAGGCTGCTCAACACATGATCTCCTCCAGATTCTACAGACTCACACTTGAGGTGGCAGGTGTGAACAGGAAGGAAGCTCACACCCAGGAAGGCAGGAGAGCTATTCTGGGGAGGTGTGCTAGAGGAGATAGGAGGTTGCCTGGAGAACAAGTGCTCAGATGGATGTAGCCCTGGCATGTGCATCCACTCATCCACACATGCATTCATGCATGCATGCAACGAATGTTTACCAAACCTCTACTATAGCTGTCAGGAGAAGCCAGAGATACCGTGGGGAACCAGACGTGATATCCATCTGAAGAAGGTCACAAGCCACTGGAAGATTACAGATAAGCACTAAGCCAATCAACACTATGCATAATGAAATACGTCTCAGGAACTCTGAGTGCTCAGCTGGGAGCGGGGCTGAGGGAGGCTTCTTGAGGGGACCCCTATGATTCCTGAAGAGGAAGATGACTAGAGGGAGGAGAGGTGGAGACAGGGCATGCCAGTATGAAATCTTTGTATTTTTGTCCTGAAGGGAAGCCATTCAAGGTTTATTAAGAGGGGGATTCCAAGTCCAATTCACATTTAAAAATAAAAATGTGGCCAGGCGGTAGTGATGCATTAGTCCCCGAACTTGGAAGGCAGAGGCAGGTGGATCTCTGTGAGTTCAAAGCCAGCCTGGTCTACAGAGGGAGTTCCAGGACAGCCAGAGCTACAAAGAGAAACTCTGTCTCAAAAAAACCAAAATAATAATAATAATAAATAGTGGTGCAATGTGGATAACAGAGTAAGGAGGGTTTGACTAGAGGAGAGGGATAGGTATATAGACAACTAAAATTATCCAGGCTAGAAATACTAAAGCCTACACTAAAGCAGGTATGGGAAGAATAAAAAGAACAGAACCAAGTCAAGAAGGATCAGTTGGAATTGAAAACAATTTGGAAAGAGTTATGAAGAGGAAAAAAGAAATCAAGATAGTCTCAAAGATATGGTTGGTTGTGATTGGTGTGTTAGAAATGTTCCCAAAGACTGGACATAGGACAAGATGAAGGGGAAAAGGCCATGTTCAGATAGATCTGGTGAATTATAAGTACTTTTGTCTACTGAAAGTCCCTAGATATCTGTGTTCCATGGCCATGTATTATTTATTGCTATATAAGGATGTTGCCACAAATTTAGCAGCCTAAAACAATGTATAGACACTGAGATGGCTCAGTGATTAAAAGCACTTGGCTACTCTTCCAAAAGACTCGGGTTCAATTTCCAGCACCCACATGGTAGCTCACAACCAACTGTAACTCCATTTCTGGAGGAATCTAATGCCCTCTTCTAGCCTCCTTGGGCACACATGTGGTACACAGACATACATGAAGGCAAAATACCCAGACACATTAAATAAATAAATAAAATGTAACAATTTTAAATACACGCTTAATGTCTCGTTGTTTATATGCTTAAGAGTCCAAGCTGACTGAACTGGCCTCACCAGACTGGGGTAGGCTTCATTTCCTAGCTTAGATGGTCATTAGTGGCAACTAGTTCACGAACACTGCCAGACTGACAGCCTCAGTTTCTTGCCTGCTTATGACTGGTGCTTTTAAGTTCCTCATCAGGTAGCCATCTCCTTGGGCATCTAAAAACATAGCAGCTTTCATCTTCAAAGCAAGAAACAGTCTCCTTGAAACTGGGCATTCCAATTCCATGTAACCAACATACATACCATTATTTTTGCTGTATTCTACAGATTACAAGCAAGTCACAGATTCTGCTCTCACCCAAAAAAGCCACAAATCTAGAAAATAGGGATCATTGGGGGGAATAGGTAGGTCCACTATTATCATGTTCATTTAATTTTCAAGAGTTAGAATCCACTGGACCCATTTCTTTGCTGGCTATGGCCCTATAGCCTAATCAAATACAGATCTACAAACCATGCATCCCTCTTGGTCTGCCTTATGACCCTACATTATCTTAACTCATCCTCTCCTTAAGCTTTCCCAGAGTCTCTCCATCCCCCTCCAATAGAGTATTCTAGCACTTAAAATTTATTGAAATTAATTGTTCTGAAATTTAAGGACAAAAATGTGTACCTCCAATAGAAATAATAAAGGCTGCCATTTATTAAATATTTACTATATATTACTCACTATAATGGCAATAATGCAATTTCACATTTAATTCTTACAATAATACTAACTTAAATGAAAAATCTATTTCTATTTTGAATATGATAAAACCAAGACAAAATGAAGCTAAATAGTTCCCAAAGTTGGGTAAGAAATAAATGGCAGATACCAGGTAGCCCCGGTACTTAAAACCTGACCAGGCACTTATGACATCATCACCCTTCACATTTTTAGAATCTTCTAAGTGAGAAAATACCAACTTGCCAAAAGCTACTTTAATATTTGAGGCGTGCTTGTGCGTGCGTGCGTGTGTGCGTGCATGCGTTTGCTTGCTTGCTTGATGTACCACAATCATGCACAAGCCTGCAGAGGCCAGAAGAGGAATCCGATCCCCTGAACCTGGGGTTACAGATGATTGTGAATTGCCGTATGGGTGCTGAGAACCAAACTTGGTCCTCTGCAAGAGCAGTAAGTGTTCTTAACCACTGAGCCATCTCTGCAACCCCACAAAATGTATTTTAATTCAAAAACACTTTCAAACAAATCTGTAGCCTTTTAACAAGCTACTATCTGCCCGTGTGTGCATAAACAGTGCACACACATGGAACCCTGTCTTCTCCCCATAGACAATGAGGATTAGTAACCATCTGCAAAGTCTTATGACTCACCCACATGGCTCCTTCCCTGGGCATCAGTAATCCCTGCCACATTCTCCTCATATATAGAGTACATCAGCAGTTCTCAATCAGGGACAGTTCTGCCCACTTGGAGTTCATGTGACGAAATCTAAAGACAGTTTTGTTTGTCACAGCTGGGGATGGTATGCAAGTATCATTTAATGAGGATAGACCGAGGATGCGACTGTACTTCTCTCAATGCTCAGAGCATATCCTCCCAAACCAAAATGTCAACAGTGTTGAGCTGCAATGTTGCAGAGCACTGTAAATTCTCCATGCATTTCACCTGAATCAGTCCTATCCCTCCAAGATCAGCTACCAGAGCAGGGATCTCATGGTAGCCTTGTCATTTTCTCAACATCTGGGAGATACTCAGTGTATTAAAAACCATGACAAATACATAGTAGGATTTCCTTCTATAGGAGCTATTTATCCAAGCTGGGCCTAGTGGGTCCCACTTGTAACTCCAGAACTTGAGAGGCTGAGGCAGGAATTCTGCAAGTTCAAGTCCAGGCTTAGCTGCAGAGTAACACCCTAACCATCCCTTCGACAAAAAGAGCTGTTTGTTCATATCAACAGTTTCATATCCTCTCTCCAAAGTGAGAGCTGCTTACCACAGCCCTCTCCAGCGGTTCTTGGTGCTTGAATCTCCGCATTATGAAACAGATCTGGTTTAGAAGAATAGTGTAAAAGAAACAATAAGCAAAAACGAAACAAATGAAAAACAGAGATGCAACATCAAATGCCAAGGGCTAGAGGGTGTTTATTTTCTTACTTTAACTGTTCAGCCTGAAATGTACAAAAGACAAGGCCATGCAAATGGATGGCAAACAAAACCGATTCTTCTTTTAAAACTACACAGCACTGTGAGGGAAAAGAACATTGTTCTAAGACAGTCCAATGCATCTGCTGAACAAAGAAACCTTTGACCATTTATTAGCAAAAGCAGGAGTTGTGAGCGTATTAAGATGAGGGCATGTTACAATTCTAGGAAGGGAAAGGACCTATCATTTCATTTTCTAGGTACAAAATTTTAAATCTATTCTCTAAACAATGCATCAAATGGTCTAGCTTTCCAACGAATTCTGCGCCAAGTAGGAAAATGTCAAGTTGTGTATTTCAACTCCTCCATCACCCAATCTCAGGGTACAGTCTGGCTCCTCTTTCCCTCACAGACAAACAAAAACAAATCCACTGAATCCCAAAATAACTTAAAGCCTTTGGGCCCCACCCCTACTTGGGAGAAGACTGAATTGTTCTGTCTGCTCCAGACAGAACTTACCACCGGGAGTGGATTAATCAGACTGGACAGAACCACATGGTCTCAGAAACTCCTCAGGAGCACCTTGATTGTTCCCAATTAGGAAGGCTATCCACAGAAGCCCAGTGAAGCAGACAGCTGCACAGTCCAACCGAGGCCATTAGCTCCTGCTGGTTCGTGCCCCTCAACTCATCAAATCAAAACTGGTTGTGAAATACAATAGCTGCCCTGAATTACTTCTAATGAGGGCTTTAGAGAATCAAAGCAGGAGGGAAGCCCCAAATCACTATCAGTCACATTGAGAATTCACTCAACATTGTTTTGGAAACATGAGCTCTAATTTCTCCAATATAATTTTCTAGGCTAACATGAAGACATCTAAAACAGCAATACAGGTATGGACCTGGGCATGACATAAATGGCCTACAGTAAAGTCCATCTGAGCACTAGCCTGCTTTCACAGTGAGCTGATCTGGCTAGACTGAGTCCTTGGCGAGGCTTGGTTTAGAGTTTGAACTGATATGTGTGTGGTTAGCATCTGCCTATATCCTTCATCCACTGACTCACACCTGACCCCTGAGACCAGACCTCAGTCATTTTATAGAGAGAAAACCAAGCTCCGCTTCCTCCTTAGTGCCACGTTATTCTTTAAACGGTAGGCATCGGGATGGCTGTTCATTGAGCTCTTCCGATGTTCCTAGCATGACACTCCACATTTTATGTCATTGATCTGGTTTAGGTTTGTTTGCTTTTGTAATGCTAGGAATCAAGTGTAAGGCTCACACATTGCATATCCCAGCCCTCTCCTCACTTTTTACACTTTGAGATAAGGTCTCACTGAGTCTCCAGGCTATTCTAAACTCACTTTATAGCCTAAATGGGCCTTGTGATTCTCCTGCATCGGCCTCCCAAATAACTGGAATTATAGGTCTGTATCACCATGCCTGGCTTGAATTAATTTCTCTATGCTGGGCAAATATCATTACCTTTACTTTAAGAATGAGAAAACTGAACCTCAGAAATGAAAAAGTAACTTGCTCGATAACACGGATAATAGACAGTAGAGCTCAAACCCATACTGATATTTAAAGAGGTCAACAAACTCTTCAATAAATCACTGAAGAGTAAATGTATCTTTTTTTTTACAGGCCTTGCATTCTCTGTTGCAACCTCTCACCTCTACCCTCCATAACTCTGCACTTTAAAAGTTAATGTCCATGTTTTTGTATGAAAATCAGAAGGCTCTAAAGATCTAGAAATGCTCTCCTGGTCAGCACATATAGCTTTATGTGCATCCACAGTAGCAGCAACCTTTTGGGGGTTAGGAGCTAGACTCTGCTTTCTAGACACCCCAAAGCTTCACTCCACAGTGTTCAGTATTAATGAAATGGTGTTCTGGATCCCTTGCCACTCATGTGTGTCTACAGAAGATCCTGATGGAGCCATGGCAGCCTCTGTCCTGCAAATGCAGGTCTCACGGGTGGACCTGCGTATACACTGAGCAGTCAGCCATTGCTTTACACAGGCAGAAAAACTATTTCAGCCATGTAAAGACCACAGTCACTTGTGAAGGTCTAATTTCATTATTATCACGTTAAACTCTGATGAGACATTATATTCTGTGGAATGAACAATCACCCCGTCATAACACAAGGTAATATTTTAAAAATCTAAATAAATATTGCAAGCATCAAGGAAATCACTTCCCAGAGCTCCATCCATTTTTGACCCTTTGCATGTATAGCTGATTCTATATAGAGATATCAACCTGCCAAACAGAACTACACCATTTACAAGCTTCCTCTCCCCTAGCACTTCTGCCCCAATTTTCTCAAATAAATGGATAAAGGCGCCTTCTACTGTAGACTACACAGAAAGGGGGCAGTCGATCATGACATCAGAATAGATACTGTTCTCCCAGAGTTGGCATCCTGGGTGTGAGGTTTGGTGCCTAGCATTTAGTGACAATGGAATGAACTTGAGCCCCACTGATCCTCAAGTCCTTCTCTAGAATCCAAGAACAAACCTGACTGTGGCGTGGGTTCTTGATTGAAGGAAACCATATCTCTAAAGTGATCCACCCACTACTGTCTCTCATCCTTCTCTATCCTCCAACATAGTCTAATACTAAACACAATGGAGTAACTGGGTTCTGGCCTGGTGTTGTACTTTGTGTAAAGATTCTTTAAACTTCTAAATAATTATTACCATGAGGTAAGAGAGACACTGTCACACAATTATACTGCAATTGCCTACAATGTTACTTTCTTGACATGAGGGACTGAATAGAACAAAAGCATTATTTTAATCTAGCTTGCATGTTCAGTGGCGTTACATACCACAACTATCACATAACTATCACCAAGTTGGTCATGTGTAGCTTGGTTTTCAAAGGACAACTACATCCAAAGACACACTTTATCCTAGCAGCCTAGACTATGAGGCTTCAGGTCAGACTGTTTCACCTTTCTGACTCAGTAAATGGATGTGGGCAAGTCTCCACCCTCTCCAAGCCTTGCTCTCCTTGACTACTATGGAAGAATGGTGCTTTCTCCCTGCGTTTATTATGAAAGTAAAATGAAATAACATTCTGTAGGGCTGCTCCCAGGGACTCTGTGCCCTAAGCCATTGTTAGCACTCTTGTTGTTAATGCTCATCTGTTACCCGTAAGGTGATCGGAAGAACATTTGGTTCTGAATGGAGAGCTTGGCAGAAAAGTTGAACAATAAAATGACTGGAAACAATTAATGGTCTAAAGTGACATTTTGACAAGTGGACAACTTATTTGGTAGAAATTTACTTCAGCACAGGTACATGAATTTGCCAAAGTGTGCACATGTGCAAAATCTGGTTTATTTGCTAAAAACTCCACCATATCATCACCATGACTGGAGTATGGAGCCAGACTGGGGAGTCTATCACAGAACAACTGCCGAGTTAAAATTAGAGCTCTGCTGCCCAATGAAGGCAGTTTCTCAAGTTCCTTTCTCCTTTTTCTACTTCTTGTCACCCTCCTACATCAAACCTTCCTACTATGCCAAGAATATACAGTTCAGAAAAAGAGACCAGGGGAAAAAAAGCAAAATTAAGAAAAATACTTAGGAAACTAGGATTTCAGGGAAAATAATCAGACACCAGAACCGCCTGATCATAAACACTGTGCACCACTGCTCTGCAGAAGAAACTCTATTAACTGTTCAATGTTCTAAATACCTGTTACCAATAGGCAAGGCACATATTCTTACTTCCACCTCACAGATCAGGAACCAAGAAGTACAGAAAAAATGACCTCTTCAGACCCAAACAGCTGGTGGGTAGCAAGTCTAGATTTGAACCCTATCCTCATGGCGACAAAAGTCTTTTTAATAACCCCTGCCATCTCTAAGCTCTGTAACAGATGTGGGGGTCTTATAAATAAAGAGTAGGATTGGTTCATCGTTTAATGGGAAAGGAAGACAGAGTCACAGTGATAAAATGGGAAGCTGTATTCTCCAAGGGTGAAAGAAAATCGGTTTGAAAGCACCAAGGAGGAAGGAGAAAGAGAAAACAGGTCACTGAAGAGGCAATGGAAGAGCTGAGCGCTGAAGAATGAGGTGGGCAAGAAAGAGGGAAGTGGGCAAAATGGCAACAAGAGAACAGGAAAGATCCTCCTGAGCTGAGGTGGGAAGGTGGGCGGGAGACAGCTGAGCCATGAGGGAACTGGAGTAGAACTACAGAGAAAGAGCTGACCAGGAAAAGTCTCTTCAACCGTGCTGTGGAGCATGCGGGGATTCTGTACGCAAACTGTGGGCTTTCAAAGACTGTGGAGGCAGCTGCTGCCCCAGGACAGACTAGAAAAGAAAGATAAATAAGAAGGTCCACCGGATGCTCTGAAGGCTTATAGATGGGGTGGGGAAGTCCAGGCAGACAAAGATACCAACTCTGACCTGAAACATGTGAAAAAAAAAAAAATGAAGCCTGCTTGAAAGAGTTCCAACAAGACAAAAACCCCTCCCATGCAAAACAGCAGCTTAGAATCATCAACATCTAGGACACAAAACTGAATACGGGTACGCTATCTGAACCAGTAAGAAAAATAGGAGAAAGCTTCAAAAGGGAAGGCCACCAACAGAGACCAACTGAATCCAAATGGAGATGGTCAAGGCTCAAAGTTTAGCTTCAAGAACTCAGTTAAGAGAGCTAAGAAAATGACAATAACCAAAAAATGAAAAACAAACCTACTAAGTCTGGTTGGCAGTTGAGGACATCAGACCATGGGATACAGAGAAGGACATTGGGAAGTACAAGGTGGAGCTGGCCAGATGTCAGGCTGCCAAAACTCCCACAAGATGTTCTCTAACCTATACATGTGCATGGTGGTACTACACACAACTGTAAATATAAACAAAACGTAAATGTAAATAAAAGGAACTTAAAAATAAAGTAGCACTTGAAAAATGGCTGAGTAGGCAGGCATTTGCCATCGAAGCTGATGACCTGAGTTTCATTCTGGGACTCCCACAGTGGAAATAGATAACCAACTCCCAATATATTCACACACATACACACACACACAATAATTGTACTTTTAAATGTTGTATGCTTAAAACAAAAAGAAGAGCGCCATCACTGAGAGCAGACAGTAGCAGCCAAGCCAGCCTATGTAGTAGATAATGTACCCGTCTCTGTCAAATGGAGGTTATGTTCATAGGACGAATTTTGTGAGCTTTCCATAAAAAGATGCTTCACGAATAACATACGAGGGCCATGGAAGCCAAAGCACAACCAGGGAACAATTAGGCCCCTGCAATAAGAGCATTCTTTTCTTCTTGTCCTAAGAATTACTCCCATGATGGGCTGCAAATCATGACTCAGACTCAGCAACTCTCCCCAAGACTCCATGGATATCACACATCCACCTATATGGAGAAGATGTCTTCCCACCATCACGGGACTTGGGAAAGTTCCCCACGAGTCAACATCCACAATGAACACTACAGGTCCTCCTGGAGGGGAAAGAGGAGGAAAAGGAAATGGGGAAAAAAAAGATAAAACTGAAGGTGGGAAGAAAGAGGAAGAAGCAGGGGTTTGAGAAGTGGAAAAGAGGGAGGAGGTGGAGAAAGGGAGGGAGGGAGGGAGGGAGGGAGGGAAGAGGAAAGAGGGGAAGACACAGAGAAGGGAGGAAAGGGGAGGACAGAGAGAAGGAGGAAGGGAGAGAGAGGAGGGGGAAGACAGAGGGAGGAAGAAAGAGAAGGGAGGGAAGAGAAGGGGGAGGACAGAGAGAAGGAGAGAGGAAGAGGAAGGGGAGGGAGGACAGAGGGAGGAAGAGAAGAGGGAGGGAGGGGAGGGAGGGGAGGACAGAAGGAAGGAGGGGAAAAGTTTACTGCTCTCACTGCCTACACAGAAAAATCTAAATGCTTCAGTGTGACTGATAAACGTTGGCCCACCTCCACTTCCTGGCCTCTGTCTACCCCGAAACAGCCTCAGAACAGTAAACGAAAACAATGACTAGAAAAGAGTGTGCACATCTCAGGCTAAGCAAATAGAGTGTAGAAAGCAGGAAAAGTACTGTGCGATTTTGCTCATAGGAAATACCTGGACCGTTTGAACCCACAGTAAAAAAAAAATAAAGTAGATTTGCAGTTACCAGGGCCTGAAGGGGGACAAAAGAATAGGGACTTATTACTGCAAGGCTATAAATTTTCCATGGAGTGATTAAAAACTAGAAAACTGGTGGCAAATCTTGTACAATTATAATTATATCATTATAATTATATGAATAACACTGTTAAATAGCACAGTTAAGATTTTTAAATAACAAATTTATAAAAATGAATGGTGCACAGCAAAACCCATTAAGCTGCACAATTTAAATAGCTGAGTTGTATTACACGTAAATTATAACTCCGTAAAAGTGTTAAAAAAAATATGGGCAACATGTACATAAAATCCTGGTGAAAGAAAGACAGGGAATCCAGGCACCCAACTGCTAGGGGAGATGAGCCACACATGCATGGCAAGACATGCATCTGCTCTCCTCTCTAAGCTTTTCCAGTTTTCCCCAAGTTTTCATAACGAGCTTTATGATGCTGCCTTTGTAGCCAGAATTAGTACAGGGAGGTGGGCACTGGCTGCAGCTTCCTCACTGGTCAGCCTCTGCAGTCTGGGCTCTTACGGGGCTGGGCTTTAATGACCCTAATGAGACAAATGCTGAAGCCAGGGACTCTGGAGGAAGACCTCTTAGGACCTATTTCTTCCTCCTCATGCTCACTACTACCCACTGCTGTCCTCGGGCAGGGGCTAGGGGGTTGCTGGTAGATGTCCTGCCCTGGGTCAAAGTCCGATCTAGGAAGCTCACCTGCATCTGGAGCCTCCAGCTTAAACTTCTTGCCATCCTTGGCAAGTAGTTGGTAAGTCAAGTAGTTGGTTTCTAGGTTGGACTTGAGAGTTCCCACAATGGCCAGGACTGTGACAATCTCTGGGGATGTGACAAAGGCATGGGTCTCGGAATTCACATCATTGCAGCCTGTGAAGTTCCTATGGTATGAGGTGATGATTGCATTCTTCTCCCCCTTATTAATGTCTTTTTTTGTCCCACTGGCAGATGTAAGGGCCACAGGCCTTGGCCAAAACAATACCACCCCCATCCTCAGAACATGTGACTAGCCATCTTTTCAATGGTGGTGTGGATCTGTTCAAAGCCTGGTGTGATGGTGAACTGGAACTTCCACTTGAGTCCGTGGGCCAGTGCCTGCTGCCCACAGCTGCTGACCATCTCAAGTCCCCAGAGCCTAAATTGGTGCAGCTGCCAATCAAATCCGCTCCAATGTCACAGAGGCCAGCCTTCCTTCTCTGCCACAATGCCCACTTCTGCCACTGGGTAAGCCAAGTCAGGGGTAAAGGGCCCATCGACATATGGCTTCAGCTCACTGCAGTTAACTTCAATCACTTGTTCATACTGGCAGCCGGGGTCAGACACTAGGTATCTTTGAATTTTTCAGCCAGATTGGCAATGTCTGTCTGTTTAGTCTGTATTGCTCGGGTGCTTCTACTTCCTGAGGTTGTATGGGAACCCTGATGTGGTGGCCCCAATTTCTGCACCCTAATTGCAGACTGTTGCCATGCCAGTACAGGAGATGAAGTCAACACCAGGCCATGGTATTCCACAAGAGTACCTGTGCCACCTTTCACCATGAGGATGTCTGCCACTTTCAGGACCACATCTTTGGGGTGAGGTCCAACCAGAAATGGAGTCCATCAGCTTCACACCAATCACTCCCAGGGGGTCCCAGCCATGATATTCACAGTATCAGTATCCCCCTACTCCAAAACAGATGCCTCCCAGGCCACCACCACTGGGGGGTGTGGGAGTCAGTGCCAATCAGAAGAACTCCAGGGTATACATAGTTTTCTAGAGTGATCAGGTGAATTATTCTAGATCCAGGCTTCCAGGACCCCACGCCATAGTTGGTACCTGCAATTGCCAGGAAATGATACACTTCTTGGTTTATGTCCTTGGCCTGGTGCAGGTCTTTCTCACCCCCAAGCTGGGCCTCAATCAGACGATCACAGTGGATGTCTAACGGCATGGCTACCTCGGGCAGCCCACTGCTGATGAACTGTACATAGCAGCAGTCTGGACTGTGGTATCCTGCATGGCCACCTGGTCAGGCCATGGACGTGGGTATGTCTTCCCTTGCTCAATCTCCTGGTGGGCTGGGTCACCCAGGTGTCCATACATGATCTTCATGAGAGTCAGAGGCTGGTTCAACCCTGTGTGGACAATGTTAATGTTCTTCTCTAGCAGATCACAGCGGAGGTACTCATTGGGCTCAGAGAGGCTCATGGCCACCTTGGCCCATTGGCACAGGACAGAGGCCACACAGTACTGCCAAACACTCAGGGCCTCTGCAGCCAGGTACCAGTAGGCTGTAGGGTACCATTTTGTGAACTGACAAAGATAAAGTCACATGGATTTTAATATTTTTAATGGTTAAGAAAAAAAAGAGTATTTCATGACATGGAAATGATTTAATTCAAATTCCAGGGTTAATAATAAAGATTTATTGGAACACAGATACTCCTATCTATTTGTATATACCTATGTCTATTTTTATGCAGTTGCAAATCAGCCTATTTGATCTGTACAGATGAAAAAATTAATGATCTAGTCATTTACAGTGGATAAACATTTACGTTTTTAGTGGATAAAATCTAAAATCAAAACATAGCATTTGTTACCTAGGGTTAATCCATGGTATGTGAAAACCCCCAATGAGGTAGGCTTTCACTGATATTTATTGAGGGACTAAAACTAACATCTCCAGGCCACTATCTCCACAGCATCCAGCCTGGGAAGCCAGACCACAACCTCTGCCGTAACTGCTCAGGGGAGTCAGGATTTGGTCAATGACTGCCCACTTCCTTATTATTGCCTCTGCTTCCAAATAAACATTCTATTCTCCCCCAGACCATTCATATAAGACGCCTCACTTCCTTCTTCATGACACTGACCACCAATCAAAACGTGGACCTCAAACCTTCTTACACATACAGCTTTCCCCCTGCTCTGCCTGCTCTTGAGTCTCTGCCAAACGCTGGAGATGATGGTAGGAGCTCTTGCTGCAGCACATCCTGGATAAACACCATCTGCTTGTTTTCCTTTGGGTAGTCTTTGTTTCCTTTCAGCTGACCCAGAAACTTCTTGGTCCCCAGAGATATGGTCTGCACTGTCTGTTGCCATGGACTCAAGCCTTAAACTGTATGTGGTACCCAAAGAGGCCCCTTGTGCCTTGCTGTTCACAGAGTGTCAAATCTGCAGTGATATGGTAAAAGGGTGTGGGGGTGAATTCTGCTCGTATTGGGTTCCTGGCTGTGTATTTGTCATCTCCTAGGATTGGACTTTGTTAGTGGTCCCCATTTGTTTGGAGAACTAACCCATTCCTTTGCGTGCTTCTGTCCGCTTTTGTCCCGACTTGTGCTGTCTCAAAGTGTTGCCTCCCATAAAGAGAACCACAGGGCATGGAACCTGTGTTGGTTCAAAGTCATTTAATCCAGAAGCACAGTCTGGGAGTTTTGTGGTTCTTACCAAATTGGCGCTCACGTGGGGAAACTTTATGTGGCCCATAAAAAAAAAAAGAATAATGTTTTCTTCCTTCCATCTTCTATGTTTACCCTGAGATACTGGCTTCAGTCCAAAGAGGGCAATTCTTCTGGTTTTCTTGTAGGAGGGCCACATGTCAGACTGGCACCTGTAGAGGCCATCCTAAGGTTTGAAGGTTTAGACACAGGACACAGAAGGCACAAACATCACTTTCAACCAAATGCTGCCATTATACACAGGTAACTTAAATCTAACTCTTCTCTTCCTCTAGAAGAAAGAAAAAAAGGGAAATACTTCTTCTGCTGCATCCTTCCATTATAGCCCCGATTCATGTGCCTAGCCCACAGAAGTCCACCAAAGCCATCTTCAATAGAACTCTAGGAAATCGCTGCTTTCCAGAAAACCATTTATTTGCGACACACGTTGGTGGGGCAAAGGGGAGGAATACAATTTCTCAGAATCAATTTTATTCACATGGAGAGACCTCCGAACAAAATTCTGATTTAAAAGCACTTTCCTAAAAAAATGACTTGGCCCAATCTAATGAACAATTTGAGGATCTTAAACTGACTTCTCCAGGAAATCTGCTCCCTGTTCCTGCTGTTGCTCCCTGTATCCCTCCCTCTGGCTCCCTGATCCTCCAGTCTCTCCCTTGTGTACTTCTGTCCATCCTTTTTTCCTTGAACAAACCCCTCAACTTCCCATCAACATTTCTACACCTCAAAAATGCCAGCTGCTAGCTGGGCGGTGGTGGCGCACGCCTTTAATCCCAGCACTCGGGAGGCAGAGGCAGGCGGATCTCTGTGAGTTCGAGGCCAGCCTGGGCTACCAAGTGAGCTCCAGGAAAGGCGCAAAGCTACACAGAGAAACCCTGTCTCGAAAAACCAAAAAAAAAAAAAAAAAAAAAAAATGCCAGCTGCTATCCAAAGCTCCATTCCATCTGTCTTAGGGTTTCTATTGCTGTGACCAAAACACTGTGACCAAAAGCAAGTGGAGGAAAGCGGTTTCTTCCACTTTCTAGCTCTTAAGTCCATCACTAAGAGAGGTCAGGGTAGGAACTGAAGGTACCAACATGGGGAAAGGATGCAGAGGCCACAGAGAAACCCTGCTTCCTGGTTTGCTTTCTGTGGCTTGCTCAGCCTGCTGTCTTAGACCAGACCATCCAGGACCCCCTGCCCAGGGGTGGCAGCACACACTGTGGGCTGGGTCCTCCCACATCAATTATTAATCAGGGAAATGTCCTACAGGCTTGCCCACAGGCCAGTCTGGTAGGGACATTTTCTCAACTGATCTTTTTCAAATAACCCTAGCTTGTGTCAAGTTAACAAAAAACATAAAACAACCAAACAAACCTAACTAACCAGGACACCATCCATGAGCCAGATATTCTGAAAACTATAGAATTTAAACCTTAGACTTTAGTTTAGCACAAAGCTATAATTAAGGATTCCTTAAATCCAGACAAGACTTCTATTTCTGGAAGAATTTAGAGTTATTTTGAGTACATATGACCTGGGTTACCATACTTTACCAACTTAAACACATGTTAGATGGAATGTAAATCTTCAACAGTTCTGTTCCACGAAAGTACCTATAAGATCTGTCTTTCCATAATAAATATGAGGGTTAAAAAGAGAAAATCCTAAAAGTAAAATAAAGCATTCTAAAATCCATACTCAAATATCTCCAATAAATGTAGATTAGACCATAATTAATCATATAAATGGAAAAGAGTGAAACTTTAAGATATTTCTAACATAGACTAGAAAACAACTTTCATGCATCTTAAAAATGTTACTACATTGTGTGTGTATGTGTGTGTATGTGTGTGTATGTGTGTGTGTGTGTGCTCACACGCGCAGGCGCGCGCACGAGGGCACACATGCATGTGCCATGGCATGGAGGTGGTGGTCAGAGGACAACTTGTAAGAGCCAGCTTTCTCCCTCCATGTGGATCTCAGGAAGTGAACACAGGTCGTCAGGCTTGGTGGCAGGCACCTTTACCCAGTGAGCCATGGAAAACAACTTTTAACAATAAGAAAGAAGGTATTAAGTTAATAGTGGGCTTTCACCTCATCCAAAGACATTCCCACGAGCCCTTACAGCCATACAGTTTACACACCAGCTTTGTTCCTAAGAATAGTTACTGGGAAGGCCCACAGGCCAAGGATCTCATCTCAAATACTACATTCTACTGCTGTAGACACACATGTTAAAGTATTCCAAGAAACTCTGATACCATACATAGCTCTCTTCCCATAACAGCCTCTAAACTGGCTGTGCCAGTGCACACCTGTAATCCCAGCACTTGGGAGTTTGAAGCAGGAGAATTGCTATGAGTTTGAGGAAACTGGGCTACATACCAAGTATCAGGCCAGCAAGAATACTGCATGAACTTTTACTGGAGCAATTTGAACAAACATCTACTCACCTCAGAGAGGGCATCAATGAAAACCAAAGCAATGGTTCCACCCAAGTCTAGCTTGGTAAAATAATGAGTTCAATGGGCTTACTTACAGGCATATA